AGCATCGGCCACATGGGCTTCAACAAGGTTCTATAAAGGCTCTACAACATAGATGCCCTAATCATTGGAAGAGGTTCTCGGGGTAAAGTATGCTTTAAGTATCAGGGATACTGCTGATGATATAAATCCTGCATTACCGTAAGGGCCCTAAACTATAGGATTTATGGCATATTCCTTTTTGATGGGTAATGCGCGATTTAAATCATCAACCGTAGTATCACTACTTACTCAGGCTCTTATAGCACGCGCTCTCCTGAGTTGTCTAGCCTATCTAGCTGTCTAGAAACTGTCTGCAGGAAGCACTTCTTCATGCCGGGTTGGATTTTACAATTGTAGGTGCAAAGCGCTCCGGAATTGCAGTTGAGAGTTAATATAGAAGCCTAAATCATTACCAATATTAGTCTTAGGGTTCCTTATCATAAATATACTATAGCAGCCCCAAACCCTATTCTAAGTATTTAGGCCCCTATACCCTAAACACTTATAGTAGCCCTTATAGAACCCTTTAAAAGGAACCCTTTAAAGGAACCCCCAAACCCCATTCTAATTATTAGGGCCCCTATTGAAGGTATTTCGGCCCCTAGATTACATGCTGTGATTTCCAAGGCTCCAGGCAAGGGCGTCTGCAACCACATCCGCATCAACTTGCGGGCGACTCCCTGCAAGCTTTTCGGAAAGGTTTAGGGTTTACGGTTTAGGGTTTAAGGCTTAGGGTTTGCGGATTAGGGTTTAGGGTTTGGGGATTAGGGTTTAGGGTTTAGGGTTTGGGGATAGTTAACACTGCTAGCAGTAGTCGGGCAGAGTGGCTGTTGTCCCAGTGATCTCTTTCGCACACTTTAAGACCCTGGGGCATCTAGTGCTCAGGCTTGGCAGATGGGCTGTGACATTGCTTAATATAGAGCCTTAGATTTAGCAGAATCAGGTGTCGGAGTATATTGCAGCAATATCGAAGCAAGAAACGCCCAATGTGTAGCACCAGGACAAGATCAGGCTACTACAGGACTACTTGTCCAGTATCCTAGGGGTTTAAAAGATAACCTTTAGGATTATATAGACTAGTACTCCAGAAGGGTTAAAGGTCACCTACTCTACTGCTAAGAACACTTAAACCCATAGACCTCTTCTACAACCCTTATAGAACCTCTTACAGTACCCCAAAAGGGTCACAGGTTACCTGCTCGACTATCTAAGGTTGAAACCACGGGGCCCTTGTATGGGCCCTTAACCCTGGGATCCTTCTAAACCCTAAACCCTAAACCCTAAACCCTAAACCCTAAAACACCTACTATATACCCGATATGTACCCGTAAGGGGCCTAGAAAGGCCTAAGGGTCCATATTGGGGGCCCATACTTCTAACCTTAGATGCTTAATATAGGGGCCTTAATCATTAGAATAGGCTTTTGGGTATATTATACTATCATTATCCTAGGGAGCCCCCAAATTAGTATTGGTAATTAATTTGGGCTCCTAAACCGTAAACCCTTATAGTAGACCTCTATAGAACCCTTTAAGGAAAATCGTATTGGTAATTATTTGAGCTCCTATACCCTATGAAAACCCTTATAGTTGGCCTTTACGTACCCGTTTAAGGAAAAACAGTACTGGTAATTATTTGGGCTCCGAGGGCATCCAAAGCAAGGCTTCCAGTCACCAACGTCTAGCTGGGTAGGTCTCGGAAAGCCCTAGGATGCAAAGAGGGGGTTCAGGGGGTTTAGGGTTTAGGGGTTTAGAAGTTTAGGTTTAGGGGTTCAGGGTCTAGGGGGCCCTTGTGATTGTAGGATCTGAAAGTATATTATATGGTGTGCACAGTTGGATAGAAAAAGGTTTCGGGTTTAGGGTTTCGGGTTTGAGGGTTTAGGGCTTATCTCAGGAGTCAGGACTAGGGGGACCCTTGGGGATGTAGCTCTCAACAAGGTCCCCTTTAAAAGAGCCATAAGTAGGGTTAAGAAGGGTCCGCCTTCAGGGGGTCTCCCTAAGACTACCTAGGATACATCAACCTATAGAAGGATCCCCAGTAATACGATTGACCAAACTCCATCTGCCGTACTTCTGGGCTTTAGGGGTTTAGGCTTTAGGGATTGGGGCGATTCAATAGAGCCTTACAAGGTTTACTTCGCAGTGAGGATAGCAATCACAATGCTTCCATGCCTGCGAACCGATTGTCTGCGCTGTGTCGCTTCTCCTGGCCACAGGCGCAGCACAAGATAGGGATTTAGAAATTTAGGGTTTAGGGAAGCGATTCAGGGTGAAACAACACGGCAGAGACACCATGGTGGACGTGACGCACCGATCAACCCGTGTTAAGACGTCTTGAACCTGTGTGCAGCAAAGGTGAAGCACAGCGTTACATGCAACTGATGCAACGATACCGACATAGAATTACCTAATATCGGGCCTGAAATACGAGGGCCTTACTGATGTTCAGGAACCCCTAGATAAGGAATCCCAAATTTGAAGAAGCCCCCCTCCCCCCCATACCAAATATCAAATACTCGGGCCTGAAATACTAGGGCCTTACTGATGATCAGGAACCCCTAGACAAGGAATCCCTAATTTTAAGAAGCCCCCNNACCCTAAAATCCTAAACCCTAAAACTCAAAAGACCCTAAAACCCTAAACCCTGAACCCCTAAACCCTAACACTCAAGAGGCCCTAAAACACTAAACCCTGAAGCCTAAACTCTAAAACTCAAGATGCTCTAAAACCCTAAACCCTAAACCCTAAATCCTAAAACTCCAGAGACCCTAAAACCCTAGACCCTGAACCCCTGGACCCTAACACTCCAGAGACTCGATGCACAAGTGACGGAGGACCCCACGTTGCCTTCCTCCGGCCAGGCCTGCCGATGGCTTTAGGGTTTAGGGTTTGGGGTTTTAGGGTTTAGGGTTTAGGGTTTAGGGTTTAGGGTTGTGGGTTCTGGGTTTAGGGCTTAGGGTTTAGGGTTTAGAGGGTTAGGGAATTTGGGTTTAGGGTTTAGGGGTTTAGGGGTTTAGAGGTTTAGAGGTTTGGAGTTTAGGGTTTGGG